GGTAGGGCCTTGAGAACGTCATCTCAATGGATAGTTACATGGTTCTCATGCGTAAAGGTCCGATTTGGTAGTAATGTATATCATTAAATGCCAATATTACCTGACAATCTGATTAGAGAAAGCTTGTTTATAGGGGAAAAACCTGGGCAGAAAGAAAAGGAGATAGCATAACACAAAATCCTACCCTATCGTCGCCTTAATGTCGAATAACCAACCCTCTAGGCACTCTCTTCTCCTCTCTATCATCAAAACTGTTTTTCAAAAGAGTGTGTTTTTTTTTTCTTATTTCCCGAATTTTTCTTGAGATGTACAAATCATCATCTAAATTTAGTAATTGAGCAGTTATTTTTAGTGGTTTTTTTTTTTATTATTTTTTTCCGGCTATCGCGGAAAATTTATACTAATGTTTCTTAGACTTTAGACCCTCAACTTCAGTTCAACTAAAGCGTAAACTCGTCATTAATAATTCTTGTTCTTCAATTTCTCAGCGATCCTTTTTCTTCGCGATCGGTTCTCCAATTTATCACATTGTTTGACATCTTAACTTGCTTTGGTTCCAAGTATTGACTAGCACAATTAAATTAAGTGAGCACCATAGCACGTCGCGTATGACGTAATTGGTTCAGGTTAACCCTTTCACCCCCAAGATCTCATTAGTAATTCAATTTACTGTCTGACATACAATTGTCGTAATGTTAACTCGGTGAATTTGGTAATGGATCAACTTATAGTCCCGTCTACCGTGACCAAACCTCTTGGGAGCGTGTCAAAAATCTGCGTTATTCTTGGCGTAACAGAACTTTACTTTTGAATAGGTTTGAATAAGGATAAGTACTCATTTGAAACAATATCATTCAATCTTGCAAGTCAAGAGAAAATGAACACCAGAGAGGTGGTACGAATAAACAGAAAAAAAGAGATGGTTACAATTTCACTGGGGCCCTATCAGATATTTCTCGTTATTCTCGTTACTTCTCTACTTGATATTGTATTGATACTGTGAGGAAAAATTCTGTCTTGGTCACTCAGGGAAGTTAATATTAAAGGTTCGTTTAGTTTTAGTGACCCTGGTAACAACAGTGAAATTGTACCCATCTCTTTCTTTCAGTTTATGCACACCACCTCTTTGGCGTTCATTTTCTCTTGACTCGCAAGACTGAATGATATCGTTTCAAATGAGTACTTGTCCTTTTTCAAACCTACTCAAAAGCAAAACTCTGTTACGCCAAGAATTACGCAGATTTTTCACACGCTCCCAATTGGTTTGGTCACGGTAGACGGCTGTTCTCTCCTTATTAAGAAGCACATGGCTTTATTCCAATACAAATTGACGTCACATTACGCTTAAGCACTTCTAATTAATTCTATTAATGTGAAATCTTCAATCCTTTGCTTAGTTAGCTGTATCGGTTTCTATATAAGCTGCTTGGTCTTGTTCGGTATCAAGATATTGATACCGGAAAACATCAAATCATTTTATATGATTTTTGGCCTGTTTCGGACTTTTGGAGTGCTCATTTCCACGAAACCCTCCCTCTTCCCCAGTCTTCTCTCTACTTTTAAAAGTTAACAAAAGCGCACGAGAGTTGCGGATGGGCGAAAGATGGGCATTTCGACCGCTGGACTATCATGTTTCCAGACCTAGATTCAAAGCCATGTCCCCACCAAGAGCTGTTCTGGATAAACTGAAGGTAGCATTGGTGTTAGAATAGCGAAAGACCCACGAGTTTTAAGATGTCTTGCCACGTGAGTGTATAACGAGGTGAAATCGTAAAATATATATGCCAACTAAACTTGGGCCGCAATGATTAAAACTGATGAAAATTGAAGGCCCTTCCATATCTCTGGCTCAAACCCAGTGCTGTCGAACGAAAAAGGAAGCCGCCATGCTCTTCATGCTCGTCACCAGTCTCACGCCTCCTATATTTTTTGTTGGTTAAACACGAAAGCACATTGCTTTAAAACATCATCACCAAAGACTTGAAAGGAAAGAAGAAACCGTAAAGAGCAAATAAGTGCATTTTATTTCAACCACCAAAAAAGAAACTTCTTATTTTGCGATTGGGAGGCCTGTGCTAGAAGAATAAGAATTGAACGCGCATGCGGGTGAGAGAACCTGTCCCATGCGTCATCCAGTGCCAATCCATTCTCGGCTTTGAAACCGGGGTAAAGTTTCCAATGTGAGCGACAGAAAGAATTCAACTCGTTCATTAAACTCATAAAGGAAGTCCGTCAGTTGCACGATTCACTCCCAGACCAGGCGAAATTTCTTCCGTTTTCTTGTCTTTGAAAAACAGTGTTCAAACGTCTGCCCATGTGCAGACGTTGCTAGAGCTGAGAGGGCGTACTTTCAGGCTGTGAGAACCAAATTGACCCACAGGAGTTACGACAGACCACTCTAGTCAGCTAGTCACTATGTTTAAAGGCGCGGAAAACTGTTTAGGTAAAGCTCAAAACAATATGTTGAAATAACTGGGTTTGTATTCGAAAAATATAAAGTTTTCCTTCTCCCTTCTTTTGTTCGCCTCTACAGATTAATTTCTGTAAATGTTCCTATTTTTTCGCATATTGTTCTTGATCCTTGTTGTTTCGTTTCATTCCTTTGAATTTATGCGCGGGAAAATAGCGCGCGGCCAGCCAAAGTAATCTAGTTGCGCATACCTAAAGTTTGACCGCGTTGATTAAAAAGACGGGCGCGCGCGCGGGCTCATTTACTCATATCTCCTCAGAATGAAACTTTGGTATGTAAAAGCTACATTTATATTCTGTTGACGAGAAAAATTTTTACCTTGTGGTCCATTAAATTACAAGTTAATTTTAGCGATTTTATGGCATACCATACAGGTTTTTCGAAGCGAGAGTTGCTTGACCTGAACTCGTTTCAGGCCACTCTCGGGTTAGAGTCTGGAAAAGCCCTGCCCTGGCCTTTGCATCCCCAAAAGGTTCTCGGGTACTACGATCAACTTGTTCAGATTTTTTCTTCACCAAAAATTCACATAATAAACTCAGTAAATTTAAGACACCTTTAATAAGACCCTTGATAACATGCAATTAAGACTACAGTAAACAAATTATGAAGAACATGACAAAAAACTACATCAGTAACACACTAAGAGTTTAGAATTTAGAAATTGATCAAACTAAGTTTAAGTTGTACCTAGTTACCAAGATGCATCAATCAGTTTTTTGGGACAGAAACTGTCTTTGGCTATGCAAGCATCCATACAAGCAAAAATCTGCTGCAATTTGAATCTCCATTTATCCTAGTCTGTATAACTACATCCAATCCTTCTACAGCCAAAAAATAAATTTCCCACATTGAAGACCAGATTGAAACAGTAAGATTACTATGCTACCCTCCAGCACACAACGATGCCTTCACTGCGGCTGTCTTAAACAAGGTGAGGTACGACGAGTCTGGAAAGGTGCTGAAGTTGACATCTAATCATCTCAACTTCTCTAGTGGATGTATAATAAAAGAAACTGATTAACAATCTCTCTGCATACTTGATTGCTGTGGTCTTACACACACGCACACAGTCAATGAACTACCAAAGATGTTGATAACAGAAGTGATGTTAATTATAAATAAGCTAACCAACATTGACTAAGTGAGTGTGAATAATAATAATAATAAAAAAAAGCCTATAGCAAGGGTGGATTTTAAAATCTTAACCAGAAAAAGTTAAGTCCTTAACAATTGACAATTGCCTAAAACTGTCCAAGGTCAATCAAAATGCATGCTTTTTAGCCAAAACAGCTATTAGAAGGAAACTGAACCTTCTAAATATCGAATTGTCTTCTACAGACAACCGTACATGATTATAGTAATCACGGTCATTATTGTGAAAAAGTCCATACAGGGGTTTTGATAATAAGGAAGAGACTGAGCTAAATAAACCCTAATCAACTAACCAAATACAGATACACACGTGGTGTATTAGAAATTTATGTAGTAAACTGCTAGACAGAACTCCTTTAAATATCAAAAAGTTGATAAAACATGAATAATTTTTATCAAATATTTCTCATCCAGTAAAAAATTGACCAAATGTGTATCTGCTTAGACTAAACACATTGGTGATCTAAACAAATGCAAAAAATTTAACACCTTAAATTCAATGAAATTACTGCTATTGAGAGGCCACTGATCTGATAGAATAGTATAAACTTAAAGCTTGTTAGTAAACTACAAGGCTCACAAAAAACCTTGAAAAACACAGTAAATGCTGCCAGCCTCAAAACATAGAGGGAATCTGTCTGTTTGGCTTAGTCTGACCATCAAAGAATTCTCTCCCATCATAAATTTACCTAATCAATGCTTAATTTTTAATTAAAAAAAAAACATTACTAATAGTGTGACTCTCAAATTTTGAAATTCATATCTAAATGCAATCCAGAAGAGAACTCCTTGAGCATGAAGGCTGAGGTGTTTTATGTTGCAAATAGAAACCAAACTGTCCAGTGCACTATCTATTTGATGTTTTTAATCACTGCAAATTAAATATTTTGGTTCAAAAGTTTGGAGAAACTAGAAAAATCAGTTCAAGAGAATTAGTCTAAGGAATATGGTAATTAAGACAAACAAAAACTACAGAGCAAAACTTAATGAAAATGATAGACAAAACACTACATTGTGCCACATTAGTGTGGCAAAAAAAGAAACTCCATCATTACATCCTTGAGTGCAATCAGGTTTTGCTTTTTAAAGTTTTTAAATTTAGTGCTTCACCCTTGCTTAATTTCAATACGAACTCTTCCTGTAGCACCTCGGTTAAGACGGTATGTTTCAGATTTCTCAATATTTTTGGCATTGGCTTCACAAAGAAGCACTGCCTTTTGAGTGCTGTTGACTTTGATGGCAGCAATTGGGGGAAGCCAATTTTCTTCAGAGAGATAAGGGTAAAAATTAGCAGCAAAGCCAGGCTTGTCTGTTGGGTAGATTTCCAGCTGATCCTATAAAAGTAAGACAATAAATGAATGAAAAAAATAAATAGCAACAAAAATGCATGTCAATAAACTGATACAGCATTACTGTGTTTAAAATGATTCTTCAGTACTGCACCTTGCATCCTGTACTGTGCATAAAAATGCGATAAATGCACATGCATTTCAAGAACACATAATTGTTTTTTAATCAATGGACTAAGTAAAGAGGTAAGATGGTCCTCAGCTGTAAAACAACCACATTGACCTTCAGTTTTTATTGCATAATTTTGGTGTACAAATTACCCCCTTTAAATTGGAGGAAAAAGAAGGAATTATCAAAGGGAGAAATTGATAGAGCTAAAAGCATTCATGAAGCCCATTCCTTGATGACATGAATTATAACCTTGAAAGCACAACTCAAATAATGTTTTGAGTCAATGTTGTTTATAATTGTGTGCTTTTTCTGTAAATTATGTATCAAATTGTTCCAAATGCTCAAAACTTTCTACCTATCAGTTTTTTTTAGTTAAAATCACCCAGGGCATCTCCCAGAGGGACAAGCAGGATGAAAAAACAGAACTTCATTTAATGCAGGCAAAGCATTGAAACATGTTACTTAAGTCTTCATTAATTTGAATTCAATGCTCCACTAATTTCAAAAATCATTTTTTGAGTGTCTGCTGACCTTTCCTTCACTCTAACCACATATGAGCATTTTAGCTTGTGACATAATTAATGCCAATTGTGGGTCATCAAATGGGTGACCTTATCTGCAAACTTAGTTTCCATGCTCTTTTAACTACTTGCTGCAGCCACCAGTACAGTTTGCAGTCCTCTTAATAGCTCATGAAACATTTGATTCACTCTTACTGATATGTGTACAAAGTTTGACTTACCTCACGGCCCTCCTCCTCAAACTTGCAGGCCAGCTGCACATAATCCAAGCCATCGTTAGGTTCAGGGACCCAATCGAACACCTAGAGAACACAACATCTTTAAGATCACAGTATAAAAAAGACAAGTCCTAAACCTTGGTCAAGGTACACAGTAATCCCTACCAAGGCAAGAGACCCAAACATTTTTTCTGAATGATTGCAGATAATAAGACCCTGTTCATAGAATATTAGTTCAAGTGATTTTTACCAGTGAGAGAACCAAAAGGAGAGAGGCCTTTTAACTCCTGGCAGTGATTAAGTTGTTACATCTAATTCTCCTTACAATATCAGTTCTACTGCATGTGCAGGAAACAGACAATAAAATACGGTAAAACTTCATATAAACTGTGTTATCTTATATTAAGTTCTTTCTGCTGGCATTCATGGAAGCATACTGCTAAAAAAGAGGAAAAACTAATATTTGGAGTTACAAGTATGTGCACAAATAAATTTCACTCTAACACTGAATCCAACTCTGTATATCATGTTCAACAGAATAAACAGTTTCAACTTACCCTATTCATCTTCATAAAGATGCAGGGCTTTTCCTCATCATAGCCATATTTAAACTCAGTGCTATTGTCATAGCAAGGACCAAGAGCAGAAAGGTCCACATTACAGGGCTTGGAATCTTTGGTACGTTTGGCATCTGTACAGTTCTGATACTCGTCACTTTCGAGAGCTTCCTTGTAAGCTTGAAAGCAAAAAATGATACATAAGTACTAATGTAATACAGTTCTTTTAAGCCAGTTATGATTTTCTGTAATAATAAATAGATTCCTGGAACAACTAAAATTACACAATGCACTATTCAAAGAGCCAACTCTCTCATATTGTAACTATCACGCTACGCTAAAAGCCATGGATATGTTCATCCTCCCACCAAAAAAGGTTTATGGATTTAGACCACCACCATTTTAAGTTTCAGTTTTCCTCTGGAAAGGGTAAAATTAGTTTTCTTGGAAGGGTTTAAATGTTTTATCATCCAGACAAACAATGTCATGCCTGACAAGAGCAATAACCTGAGATCTATGCTCTAACCCTTTCATGTCCAAGATCTCATCAATAATTCTCCTTACTGTCTGCCAGACAAGTCCTGTGATGCTAATTCTGAGAATTTGGTACTGAATCAACTAGAAAATCTTCAAACATACATTTTTCTATGTTCTCAGCACCTGTCTGATTGACATTGTATTGATATTGTAAGGAGAAATTCTATCTTGATCTCTCATGGGAGTTAAAGGGTTAACCTGTACAGTAACTAACAAAAACCCAAACATTCTAAAACCTACCTTCTCAACTTCAAGTTTTAATTCAAAAAGCACAGTGCAGAGGTGACTAGAGTTTGAATGTCTAATGTTATTAAACTACCACAGGTTTTGTGATCAACATAAATATTTTGTTTCATGCCCCTTTTTGTGTAGTGCAAGATAAACATAATAGCTTAAAAAGTGCTTTATCCAAGAACTCTACAAATATACTGAAATATACTGTAGTTTTTTCAGTTTCTAACTGTTTTTTCTTTCTGTCTTTAACACTGTCTATCATATTGGATACCTGGTTCTCCTCTCTCTTATAAATCTATTTTTGGCCCTACTGCAATTCTTATAATGTTACAAGAACAACATAGTTCCATTTATTAGAACATACAGCTGTGAGAGATTTTAACCCTTTAACCCCTAAGAGTGACTAAAATCTAATTCCTCCTTACAATATCACCACTGAATCATACATTAATGTCAGGAGAATAAAGGAAATGATCACCAACTTAAGAAACTCTTGATTGTTAGACAAGTTCTCCTTGTCAGCACCTCAGTAAATGTACAGAGAACAGTATAGAGAATATGAATTATGATGTTAGGGTGTGAAGGGTTAAGCAAATGACAAAATCCATAGTAACTTACGTTCCAAGAATTTGTTGATTTGGTCAACAAACGAATCAACATCTTTATAATTTTTTATTTCATAGAATGGAATAGGTATAAGGCCTAACAAGGAGACAAAAATAACAAAAGAAGAACAGTTAATGAAGCATTTTAACTTGTAGAGCATCTAAGCTAGTGTTACGTAAGAACTTAATGGTTGAGTGCATAGAAGGACACATGGGAATTCTATTCAAATATCTCGAATGTTGGCAAAATTTGATAAAGTATTTATTTGAACGAACTAAAACAGATTTCTGTTGCCTCAAAACGTTGGAATGTCACTTTGGCTCTCAACAATAGAGGTTAAAGTACAACAACTCACGCATAAAAACAATATGATTGAACATGTACTTAACCAATACTGAAATCTATTCAAATATCATACAAACTTGCTGGGTTATATTGGCGCCTGCGGGCAATATATAGAGGACTTTAAAATTTTGTATTAAACACACGACTTAGTAAATCACGACATCGCTAACCCTTTCAATTTTTAATCTTTCGTTAACTTCAATTCTGAGACTGTTCGTAAAAAATTACCGATTTCACCCATCATACTTCACAGAGAGAATCGGCCGAACGTAACGCAAATTTTAGGAGACCCACCCCTAAATTCATATCTACAAACAAACGAATCAAGCAAGATTAACCCAGAGCAAAAACGAAGGAATTCTCAGAGCGGTTGATATACTTTCATGTGGCCGCTCTTTCATCTATTATGCAACCATGGGAAAGCTTTCATTTAACGCAAATGCAAATATTTCTCCGCTTGACTTAGGAAACCAACGAGCCCGAAATACACCCGTGCATGTCTCCAACCCGAGAAGTACGACGTCTCATATTTCATAATTTACCTTCAAAGTCGAAAAATCGTTGTAAAAGAAAAATCTATTTTATGTGAACAAGAAATAAACAAATCTTATCATATCGGGACAAATCTTCACGACTGACACAATAATTTTCTCAATTTGAATTGCAAATGCTGTAAACCACATGCAGGCGGTCTGCGCACATTCAAAGAAGTTTTCCAATGTTTTGACCTTCAAATTGAAGAATGGTTGCCAATAGATCTGTATGCTAAGACTTACACTAACTCAGAAAACAAAACGTGAAAAAGAAAAAGAAACCTTGCTTTCCCGCTAAATATCTTGTCATTTTCGGCCCTTCCTCTCGAGCTGGGACAGTAGTCATGAATATCGCCAACATCGAGGCGAAAAATCCCGCTAAGCAGCCGTAAAATATCAAGAAGAACACTGTGATCTTCGCTGAAATGAGGAAAATAAAGTAAGCGATGTCAGTTTACAGGTACACGGTACATTTCGTGGACTAAATCCATCGACAAGTTGCCTCACAGCTGGCATTCATCAATATACCGGTTCTGCTTCGATTAAACTCTCTGCTAGATTTAATCAACTTACCCCAGCTCTTGCCATTTCTGCCCATGACCTGCACTTCACCATTTTCACCATCTTTATTGTAAAGAAAGTGGCCAAAATCACGTGCAGTTTGTTGAAAACGTTCAATTCTTGTCTTTCCTTCTTGCCCTTGCTTAGCGTACGCCATCTTGCAAGCCTCACCACGCGAAACAGCGGCAACTACCACGTGATCTCTCTATTTGAGCGTCCAATTTATATTTGAGGGAGGGGAGGTTGGGGTTACTAGCTTAGTATCTGTACTTTGTACATGCAAGTTGTCATATTGTCCCTGCGTTTTGGGCCAATAATGGCCCTTTAGACAACTGTCCGCCGTATATTTAGTAACAAGCCAGTAATACCGCCAAATCCATATGTTATACCCACGTGAATCTTGTTAATTTTCCTTAGATCAGCTCCAATTTGTAAGAGGCAGTCACGATTGACAAATTCCTAAAACTAGGCCCAGTGTGGAAATGTATTTTTTAACTCGTGTTTAGCGATTATCAGGAAAGTCGAAATGATATTGGTACATGTCAAATTTATAGTATCCTTTTATTGCAATAGTGAAGCCATTATTAGTATTTCTCACTATAAGTAGATTACAAGTGGCTTGTCGCCTCTGAAAAATGTTGTAGTGTACTTTGTCAGTGACGTGTAGTGTCCACGTGCACAGCAGAAAATATTGCTAATATTTTGAGCTAAGCCACGTCATTTACTGGTTGGATTCTTTTCAAAGATTGTGAATATTGTTTCGTCCTTCCAACAAGTAAGATTGTCCGCCATTAATACTCAAGAATTTCTTGCGATCTGGCCATACTCAGTGTTCTTTCTGCATTCCATGTTTTCTCGTTTTTTCTCGGTATAACTTAAGTCATATGATTATTGCCAATTTTATACACGATGTACTTGAACAGGAAGACTTTATTGTGAAAAGAGTAGATAGTATCCTGAGTTATAGCACATGATGATTCGATGCGAGATCACCTGATGCTTCTGTATCGACCGCTTGACTTTATGGTGCAGTATCACGCTGGTTTTATCGCGTCAATCTCGATCAGCCATTTCATTTAGAGCCACAAATGAATTTTCTCTCGGCAGTGCGTCACCTTGTGTCAGTCTAATTTTGTGACTAAATTAAATTCTGGGTAACTCTATTCAAGTTCAGTTTTATTACGATCGGTTGATGCGCGAAATAGCTTACCCCTCACTTCAGTGAGGTGACTCTTCTCATGAGAAGATAAAGGCATCTTTATTTACTTGATCCCATAAATAACCACTACTGCGATATCAACAAAACTTTAATTGCGTCATGAATTATATGCTGTACTCTGTAAATGATATTGATAAAGCGAGAGCACTCATTTTCATTCATAGCACTTATGACATTTGTTCTTTCCAATTAATGTTCCCGTGAGTTACCAATATATATTTATATGCTTATCATGAGTGAATTAAACTACAGTCTTTTAATTTTATTGTAATATATAGATTTAGGCAAGCCTAAAAGCGGAGCTCGCATTTTTTTCCCCGCACGTCTCTTCAACAAAACTAAAGCACCTACTATGGATAAAGTGCGTGGTAATATTAATGGATTTTCATTCGCAACTTCTCCGTGTCCGTGTAGAGGACTGATTATAAGATAGTGCCCGTGGTATAGTTGGCCGCGCATGCTAAAAGTAGCACCTTGTACGGTCGGTCGAACGGTCTTACGGTCGTACATCCAAATTTTTTTCGGCTTGATGGGTTACTACTATTTTGTATAGTTATGGGGCTACGCGAGCTCTGCTATTAAATATAAGATAAACTGTATAAAAATATATAAATGATTAGATAAAATGAGTGAAGCATCTCAGACTGATATGGACACATCACATCGAAATTACAATTTTTGTGACTTTGAAAAGTCAATTTTGCTTGTAAGGAACTTTGGTATCTTGGCAGTTAATGAAATTATTTCACCAACTGACGTTTGTTAAGTTTTCCTTTTGGTGATAGTGGGTTAGGGTGGAAAAGGAATACGAGATGAAACCGATAGCAGACCATAGGCTTGTTTCATAGCTGAAGAGGCTTTCTTTAAGCTCTCTGTCGAAAATAGCAAACTAACTCAAGCTAACGTGTGAGTAGGATTTTTGTTCTCTGTTATGGAGTTCGCAAAGCTGATTACGCCAATATATTACGCAAAACAGTTTTAAAACTTAGCGACCATGGAGACACTCTTGGCGCTAAAAATTTAGATTCCAGAGTTTTATTTTCAAACCACATGCAAACAAATGTTTCGCTAATTACTATATAATAACTTTTTTTTTTAATCTCAAGTCAATTTTTTTTTATTTTAATATTATAATAACTTTTTCTATGATCTCGGTTGGAGTTCATTTACATCGGTATTAGTCACTGGTACAAAAGTCGCTTTCTCAATGGAATATCGCCGTAAAAGCGGCGCCATTCAATTTTCTCTCTATGTTCCTCCTTGAGCCACAAGGCTGATGTCCATCAAAGTCGCAATCCTTTGGCTAATCAATGCAAACAGAGCCATGGAATGAGAAGTTGTGGGGACTGGGCAAAACTTATTTCTTCCTGAGGTTAAAATGCAAGAGCAGCCTCTCTTTTTCTATTGCGTTTGTATTATCAGGTACTTTAGATTTTAAACAGACGATTATTTTTTTTTTTTCCCTAGGAGTTATGACGTTTAGACTTCTGCTGTCGTTATACTTGTCCAGCGGAACGAGTGCAAACACTTGTCATGGGAACGAGGATAAGAAACTCTGCTTCCATTACCCTTGTCTAGCGGAGCATTCCTCAAAACCCTTTTTCCAAGTCCAGAACTGGAACCGATCTTCAGGCTTTCGTCAAGTTGGGAAACACTGAATGTATCTCACGAAAGCACAACACATAGCCTTTTCCGGGTGCTCAGGCAGTACGGCGGAGCGAAATAGTTGACAGCGCGGTAATAGCGGAGTGAAAAAGCTAGGGAGGCCAGGGTCGGGTTATTAAGCAACCCGACCTGGGCCTTTCTCATTTTTTCACTCCTTCCCTACTATCGCGTACAATATCACGCTTCGTTTTAACCAGCTGAACGCCTAAAACAGACTACAAAACTCAAAGAAGTCGAAAGTAAAGTGTCTGAAGCAATCCAACAAGAAATAAGCGGATTATGTATCATTAATTATTGATGGAGGGCCTTCGTTGTAACCTTACATATACATGCCCTGTGGGGTGCTAGTGAGAGAACTAAATTAAAGTTAAGACAGAACGAGGTTTTTTTCTCTGTAGCCAGTGAAAAAAGGGTCAGGTGCGGGAGAAGAAGTTGGGAAATCGATTCAAGTGCAAACTACGATTGTTGGGATGTAAAAGATATCCTCTAACTTTGCAAAACCTCAATCATCTTCCTCTTTTCGGTCTGTCACGCACGCTACAAGTCCACCGTCAACTTTAGAACCTTCTTCACTACAACGTAAGACCTTGCACGATCTCGTGGTATTTAAAGATCTTCCGTCCAAAAAGTACTTTAATTTTGTTCTTTACGATATCATTTTGGTTTTATTTCAAATGAACTTACGTGTTTTATGTGGCTTGTGAAGATTTAGGCCTCTCGAAATTGTGTGGAGGTGACGCGAGCCGACTTTGAGATAGGAGAAAACGCAAATTGATCAAATTTCTGGTGACTTGTTCCTTCACGAACTTAATCTAACAGTATCTTATTATTGCTTTCGATCTAATTATGACGATCAATTAAAGTATGTACTCTCAGTTAGTCATTGTTATTGCAGATTACAATTAATTTCTGTCATTAACAAGCTATTTCTTTTAAAGAATTATGTAATCTTGATAAAGATGAATTTTCTCGCCACCTTTGAGAGATCCCATTGTTAAGCGCGCGCTTATTGCAGCTGCTTTTCGACAAAAGCTGCGCGGAAAACCACGCTTTTAATTTATCGTTCATAGCGGTAGATTTGATCATTTCAGCGCAGAATGTGCTTTATTAACTTGTTCGATATGAAGGCGATCTAGTCGAGAAATTCAGCAGTCTTAATCTGAATCTGTTGGTGGTTGATTAGATCTAGGAAGAAAAATATTGATGGTAAGTAATTTCATTTTGATGTTACTGCTACTATGTACTTCCAGTCAAAGTTAACAAAGCATGTAAGTCATCCGCCTTTCTTTTGCACTCATAACGAAATTAAGCCATTATTAAACGCTTTCATGCAAGATCATGACTAAGGTAGTCAATTCAGTTCTAAGCTAGGGCTTGTTCTCAAAAGTGACAAGTACTGAAAACTACAAGGCTTTCGAGATCAATACCGTTTACTCGGCGTCAAACCAACAAGTTCGTTTTGTACTTTATTATTTAAAAAAAACCTTCAATTTCCTTCGACTAATTTTCCGCAGTTAAATGTGCTCAATTGAATGTGCTAGTAAAACTCGTTACCTTTCTTGAAAATAATAGCATCTGCATCTCGAGGTAAAGTTGAATTTTGAAAATAGAAAACATATGTCCATTTGGATATCAAACTTCTTTTGTTACCCTATACTTTTACGGCTGTTTACAAGCTTTTTTTAACGATCCTGTGAAAAGTTGATCGCAAAATGAAATTAGAAAAAATGGGTTGCAATTGTGCAAGTAAACGATGGAATACTAATTGCTCCTGAGTAATCAAAACACTGATCAACGCTGGCTTATTTGGGTCATCAATTACTGAGAAATTTTCCACTGTTATTACCAAATCTTACGATTCGCTCGCTTTGCTGTGAATATTCCACAGAAATTCTCAAGAAATTTGCCCACAAAACCAACTTCATATGAATAGCTCAAGTTTTTTCGAAACTTACAGTGATATAGGGAAGTCATAATTTCGATTAAATCGTAAATAAGACTTATCACTATGGTGACGAGCTCCGAACAGTCGTTTTCAATATGTCGGACAATCCCGAAAATACAGATCCAAAAGCGCAGGAAAGAGAGGATGGTACAAAGTCCCGCACGCTAAAAGATGCGACACATAAACTTAAAGCAGAAGCTTTAAGACGTTATCAGCTTGGAGATGCAAAGTATGACAGCGAAGGCGCTAAAACTGATGATGGGCGCCAAGGTTCGTCTTCTGATAAGAATGTTGGAGACACCGAAAAGGACGGTGAAAAAATTGATTCAGAAAACCCAGATTCTCCGAGCAAGGGAAAAGATGATGATTTGAATGGCGACAACGCCAACGACGAAGAAAGTCGAGAAGATGAAAGTTTTGGTGGGGATTCCTCGAAACCAAACGAAGGCAACGCTTTAGAGGATTCTGTTCATAGCAACAACATGAAATCTGATAAAGAAAACGTTCAGAGATCTGAAATATCCGAGAACGGAGGCGGTGAAACTAGTACTGATGTCAAAGATAAAGATATAAACAATGGAAATGATTCAGTTCGGGAGGGAGAAATAGCAAATGAAATCTCTAAACCTCAAAGTGAAGACACTTCGCGGGTTTCAAATTCTCAGGACAAACCAGTACATGTTCGTGGTTCGAGGCCTGGCTCGGCGAGTTCACGACCAGGCTCGGGCAAAGAAAGGCCAACATCAGAGTCTGAAGGGTTTAAGAAAGGGGAGGAAGGCTATCAGAAACCTAGCCGCAGACCTGGATCAAGAGATGGTGACAGGTCCAGACCAGGATCAGGTGCTGACAAGAGGGCCAAGGAGGAAGAACAAAACCAACAATTAGCCAGTGGTAGGGGTGGGTCTGGTATTGGGAGGAGGTCTCGACCACAGTCAGGAGATAAAGGAGGAGCTGCAGACCAGGAAAGTGGTGATGTCACCCAAGATGGGTCTACCATAGAAAGTCCTGGGGATGCTATTGCTCAGAAAGATGGGGCTCTTATTGGTGATGAAATTGTTCAAACTGCAGATGGTCTTTCTCAATCCAAAACAAATGGGGGTGAAATAAAAGAAGGTGGTACGGCAGCCAGAGATGATGCTTCCCTGGTAAAAATTAATGAAGGTGTATCTCAAACAGAAGGCAAGGATTTGAATGAACAGGGGCAAGGTCACCATAGTGATAAATCAGTCTCAGAAAATGTAATAGCTGATAACAACACAGAAACAGTAAGTGTAGAAAACAGCTCTAAATCAAAGCAGACAGGTGATCATGACAAAATAAGTGATGATGTGTCACCACCCACAAGCGAGGAAGCAAAATCTAAAGATGTTGGTGAGGATTCTAAACAAAATCATGACTCTCTTTCTAACAATAAACAGGATCCTGCAGTGGCAGAAGGAAATAAAGAAGAAAATGAAGGGGAAAATTCTAAAGAAAGCAAAGGGGATAAGGAGAAAGCAGAAAGTTCTGATGGGGGAGGACAAGTTAATGCTGAGTCAGATGGAAAGGAAGATTCATCAGGAGCCATGCAAACTGATGATAGTTCAAAGGACAGCAAGGAGCAAATTGTCAGAACCAACAAAGGTGAATTATCAACTGAACCTGGTGAAGGTAAGAAAGAACAGGAGGATGATGCAGGAAAATCAGAATTGGAAGAAGGAGAAAGCAGAAAAGCAGTTAAAAGAGCTGATCAGGAAGGTGGAGATGAAGGTCACACAGGGGAATCTTCTGATGCAAAAGTTAAAGAGGAGGGTAAAGAAGGTGATACAACTACAGGAGAAGCTGATGAAACGAAAAAGGATGAGAGTGAAAAAAAGAAGAAGAAGAAAAAAGCAAAGAAAGAAGGAGAGGAAAAGCAGGAGAGTTTAGAAGAAGATGGCGAAGAGAAAGCAGATGGAACTGGAAAAGGAGATGGAGAGGCACAACCTGGTGAACCAAAACAGACTGTACCAGGTAAATTATGAAAATAATCTACAATTTATAGCAAGTTAGTGAAAAAGAGAACACAAAATTTCACAAGTGTTGAGTTGGTAATTCAAATTTGAATTAAATTGGTTCATTTACACTTTACAGTAGTATCTGGTACAAGCATCTCTACTTGAAAAATAAATTTGCCAACCAGTAGTTTCTGAGTTTTACGCCCACTTGTGTGACTCCTTACATACAAAAGTCTTTTTGTATGTTGTAAAATGCTACGTTACTTTATGCTTTGAATTGTAATTTTTTCTCTAAATTCTATTATGATTCCTGTTCTTTCTTATGACTTATACATCCAGGCCCATTTGTATGGAGGCTGATTAGCACTAACCCAGGGTTAAATTTTAATCCTGGTCTCTTTGTTTCTTTATTCAAGAGCCTTTTATTAGATAGGTTACTCTATTATCTATGGAGCATCCAGTCATCAAATTGTAGTTAAAAGAATGCCTCTGAATTTTCTTTTAGAGCTTTCAGATCTGAAATCAAATTCCATACTAACCTTAGGTTATCTTAACTCATCTTTGAGCAACCCCACCCTGGTGTTTCATCAGAGTAAAGTTGTGATGTGAAGTCTTAAATGATTTCACATTACTAATGTGTAACTCTGTTGAAATGTAGGAGATACAGAAGAAGAGGCTGAAAGAATTCTACCAGATGACTTCTATTATGATTTTGATGAATTAGTCTCAAAGGCATTTTCAACAGAGGGAATCCCATCAGCATTGTTATCATTTTAGTATCCTTTTGGTTAGATGTGAATGTAATACTTTCATTTGTTGATTAAAGTCTGCTATTGAAAGTTCTACAGCTTAGCATTTCATTTGAAATCAAATTGTCCTGAAGCTATAAAACTCAAAGTAATTACATGTAGCACTTTGCACACAACATACCTTTCTGTTGTCAAATGCAAATTTGTACTCTCAGTTTTAAGATGCTTTTTCTTTAGAATGTTTTGAATTTCAGTGACTGGTTACAGTGAAATTATAGTTTCATGTACATGGTTGACCCAGTGTTAAGCGGTCACCCAATGGGAAATGGAGGGTGACTACTTAATACAGGTTGACCAGCAAATGACTTGTGCAATATTTGTGCATATAATGTTTCTCCTAACATCCCAGAGAAGAAAGATAACATGCAATGTGTTGAGGACATTTGAATCAAAAGAGCTAACAGTGATCTCAGGAGATAAAAAGGGAATTAATGAACTTGAGATATTATTTTAAGTTAACTGTTTCAATTGAGTGCTTCCACTTGAAGTGATGGCTCAATACAGGTGTAAGACAACACAAACAGGGGGTTGAAACTCAGTCAAAGGTAACCACAACCACTCAATAGAGATGAATGCTTAATGAAGGTGACTGCTTATTAGAGGTGAAAATTACAGTAATTTAGGAGAACAAATTTGTGACTTTGACAACCAACTACTTAATAGAAGGTGACTGCTTAATATGATGCACTTAATCCAGGTTCTACTGCAGTAGGATACATTCGTTTACATCCTTAACTCTTCCGTCTCTTCACAAGCCATTCATTTGGGTTTGAATGTACCAAGAGATCAAACCTCCATGTCCTGGATGAAAATTGTGTTTTGTTCTCTGCTGGAAACTCGGTAGAGATTCTCAATCTAAAGACACAGGAGCAGACTCACATTAGAACAACGGGAGGAGGTGGAATTGGGGCTGTTGCAGTAAGTTTTTATCTTCAATTTTTTTTAAACAACGCTGGATGTTTGAGTGAAGTGATTGTTATAGACACATTTTGTAACTTCTAATATGATTATAGTGTTTCATTACCATCATCTATTTCCCATTTCTATCATCTGTTTTAGTTGATTTATGCTTTGAAGCTGGAATAACTTTATTGTAAATTCATGGAATTTATGTCTGTCAAAGTACTTTACTTAAAGTTTGTGGTAAAAAATTAATGATAATTTCAAGATTACAAGTCATATCTAAACATGGATTTATAAGATTTATTTCAGTCTATCTTAAAATCAGTTTAGGAATTATTCTCACACAGTGATAAGTTTGTTTCAACAAGCACCTTTATGGTAACAGACACAGACAAGTTACACTAAGTCTTTAAGTTATTCTAGATTTAAATAACATATGCAACACTATTCTCTATCTGCAAAACAGCATTGTAGCTAATTATAATCAAGTCAGACACTGAAAAGATGAAGTAGAAAACCCAATAAAGAAACTAAAAGTTTTTCAGGAAGAGCTGAGAAAAATCCCAGGGCCAAGTTGTATAAAGGGTGGATAACACTATCCAATGGATGAATCACTATCCGCCAGATAGAGATTTATCCAGTGGATAGAGTTATCTGACCTTCCAATAACCTGAGCCAGATGTGTTTGAGTAATTTTGATAAACTATTTTGATCATTCAATGTTTACAAGTGATATGTTTTGTTATGTGGAAGTAACACATACTTTTTGACTGGCAGGTCCATCCCAGCAGAAAATATTTTGCAGTAGCAGAAAAAGGAGTGAAGCCTAACATCAATATCTTTGAGTATCCTTCTCTGAAGCTCCACCGAATCCTTCGTGATGGGACTGAAGAAGCTTATGCCCACTTGGACTTCTCCCCTAAAGGGGACAAACTTGCTTCTGTTGGCAGTGCACCAGACTATATGTTGACTGTATGGGACTGGAGAAATGAACAGGTTATTCTTAGATCCAAGGCTTTCTCACAGGATATTTACAAAGTAGCATTTTCACCTGAAGACGAGGGACACTTGTGTACTAGTGGCTCAGGACATATTAGGTGTGTAAATTTATCATTTTTATTGAACCGTATGGAGTGGATTTTGGTCTGATTTCAAAGCCTATGTTCCATTTGAAATCATAAGTATGATTATAGACTAAAATTGAACTCAGTAGCAGCTTTAACAGACTGTTTTTGAATCCTTATTGCATGTGCATCATAATCTTTGAAACTGAACATCAAAACTTTTGTACTTCTGCAGATTTTGGACCATGGCAAGCACATTCACTGGACTGAAGCTACAGGGACAAATTGGAAAGTTTGGTGCCAAAGAAATCTCTGATATAGAAGGTCAGTGGAAGTATATAATTAAACTTGAACTTCATGTAGGGCGGTTTTCAACTGTGTGTCAAAAAACCAAAAGGGGAAGTTTCATAAGTGTGGAACAGAGAAAAACTCTGAGTTCCTCTCAAGGAAATTCAACTTAGATCTTGAATTTCATATTCTGTAGTCTGACAATTCTCTGATCACTGAGTTTCAGAGAACTTGATGGCAATTTAGTTCATACATTGCTTTCATTAGCTTATGTTGCACACTAACTACCTAATTTTCTTAAAAACAGGTTTTGTTGAGCTTCCTGATGGTAAAGTACTTTCTGGATCAGAATGGGGCAACATGTTACTCTGGGATGGTGGTCTAATTAAAGTGGAAATTTCCAAGAAAGGCAGGAAACCTTGTCATGTTGGTATGATTGAACAGTTCTTTATGGATGAAGGTGAACTCATGACCATTGGTGCTGATGGTTTTGTGAAAGTCTGGGATTTTGAGAGCATTGACAATGCTGACACCACAGAGGAGGGGCAGCTGTTTGAAATGGACCCAATGTATGAGCTGAAGGTAGGGGTAAAAATTTGGCTGCAAGAACATGTTACAGTAACAAATTTTTTTTTCAGTCCTTACTGTATTTTCCACCACTCATGCTAAGTAGTGTTCATTACAGTGAAGATAACTTTCCTATTAATTTCTTAAAACTTTAGTTCATGCATATGGTTATCATATATTCACAGTCATTGATTCATCAATTCATGGGTTTATTTGAAACCAACATAATGACCAGCCCCCAGATGGCTTGTTTAAGCTCAGTTGGTAGAGTGCTGCACCGGTAGGCCTGAACCTTTTTTTCAGGCCTTAGTTTCACTATTGCTTTTTATAAGTAGTGTTCCTTACTGCAAAGATTGCTTTGCAGTTCACACATACCATTTTCATAATATTCACAGTCGTCAATGTTACAGTTACTGCATAAAAATTAAATTGTCAGATACCTCGGACGATGGCATTTTGTCCAAGCTAAGAGACCCATCAGATACCTTTCAGAATTTTAAATCAAACTCAGTGAGCAAATTGTGCTCTTCATCCCATGTGAAAATTGAAGATGTTAGCAATCAGGCCTTGTATCTCCTCTTAAAAAAGCTTTATAACAAAATACATGTTCATGTAAGTCACTATTGGTAAGCCTCTAAGGGTAGCCTGTATCAGTGACACACTGTGTGTCTAGTTTGTTTTGGTGTAAATGTCATGAGCTGAGTGCATATTTAGTAAGTTATATAGCCATGATGGTAAGAGAAGATGAACTAATTGGGTTTTCTATTTAAGTTACCTGTTTCCTGTGTCAGAATTGGTTGGAGTGTTGTGCAAGCCAGGAAATGTTATTGAACAAACACTGTTATTTACTATGATGTGGACAATTTATTCCAACAGGTTGGCACTGATGTCAAACTCATGTCAATGGTCAAAGCTGTGAATACTGAAGCACCAATCTGGTATGCTCAGGTAAGTGTCAGCTAACATCATGAGAGTATTTTCCCCAGTCAGTGAGACACTGACTGTGTTTGGGTTGGACATGCATTTGAGCTACAGTGGAAGTGCTCAAGATTAGTGATTTTTTAAAACACTTCAATTCCTTTTCTAAAATCTCAAATTACTGAGGCTTTATTGTTTGAGATTTGAAATATAGATACTGGTAGTTTAAATCTTTGCTCAGATTAAAAGGCAGGTGTAAGCTTGTCGTTAATTGAGTAAGATATGATGTGTACATGTCTGATATGCTAGCCTACATCAGTCACAAGTTAAAGCTTATAATTTTTTTTTCAATTTTTCACCTTTTCTTTGTGTCCATTGGAAAACATCTTAATCTAACCTTGAATTTTTTTTTTTCAAATCTTTGATATTTTTCAGGATGCCACAGGTGGTATATGGAAACTTGATCTGTCATTTACTCACACTGTAAGTATTACAAAGTGTTTGTTAAAGTACAGTAGTAGTAAAGTTGTAAACCTTTATTTATTTTATAGCAAGGTAAATCCTTCAGTCATATGACATAACTATTATCAAGGGATGCCCTGCTTATATCAAATCTTACCATAATACAAACTATATTCATAAACTATTAACAAAAACAAATATGTTATGAAATGCATACATCTATGTGTACATAAAAGTTACAAAATAACGATCAAAAATTATATAGCCATGATAATAAAACAAATGTTTTGCTGATCCTGTGCAGACAGAAAAAAAAACACTTGATTTTTCTGTCAGATTTGTATTTAACCCTATAACTAGCAGAAGTGATTATCATGCAATTTCTCCCTTTGGTATTCATATATTATCCAGCAAACAGGTAGTGAGAATACTCAAACTAATCAGTTACAAGCTATTACTTGATTGAACACCAATTCAATTTACAAGCAGAAGCGTAATAGCTAGAGGGGAGATTTGACACTCAGATCTTGGGAGTTAAAGGGAACTTAACTGAGCAATTTTTTTTTTTTTACAGAGCCATGCACCAGAGAGGATGTACTTTTACCATGCAGGACCAATCACTGGCCTTGAAACTTCTCCTGTTGCTCATTTTGTGGCTACAATTGGAGTGGATCGTAAGTAACTTTTTTCCTTCCTTTTCTTTCTGGAGATTGGGCAGGTAGTGTTCTCCTTTATTGCGATTTGCACAACAGGTTAAAGAAATGTTCAAATTGGTAGAGCAATCCTTTTAACTGTTGAATTTTAAAAAAAATTCAAGAAAATTTAGGGCATATTAATAGGTACTATTGGCAGTAAATTTAACTGGTTTTTGTCTGATAAGGAGAAGACCCAGGCAAAGGGGGGATTTGTAGAGTTGCTAATGTTTCATACACTTTTGACTTATCACTACGTTTGATTCCGTTTTACAGATACTGTGCGAGTTTATGACTACCTCTCCAAGGCACCAATGTGCCAGGCTAAATACAATTCAGGAGGTTCCAGTCTTTTGTGGGTTCCTAAAGTGGTGAGTTTAACCATGGTTATATTAATGTTTGCCTACAACAAAACCTTGACGCAGGGTCACTTGCCTGTAAAAGAAAAATTGAGTTCAGTTGACTTTGTCTGGTTTTGGAAACACAATGTTATAAATATTGTGGGATCACAAGTGGGACATCTGAACCAAATCAATTTTCATGACCAACGAATGAAGGGGTAAGTTTCTAAAGAAACTGTGGTGCTGCGTCGGAGGGAGAGTATGATAGGGTAATTTAGTATTATCAACTGAGTTGATAACGTAAATTGGCCATCGTAAGTTTTAAAGCTGACGTTTCTAGCGTTAGCCCTTCGTCAGAGCGATCTAAATTATAATTACCCAATTTACCTGACTGTTTGTTAAGGTTGTTGAATGTGTCAAAAACGAACAGCGTAAACCTTTTTGCCTTTTAAAATTCGTTTAGGTTGATACCAAAGGTACCAAACTACTTGCTGGTTTTGCGGATGGTGTGGTTCGGTTGTTAGCACTGAATAAGGTGGATCCTTCCCAACTGAGAACTAAAAAGTCCAAGCAGAAATATGAGCTCAATTTGGAGCAAGTTTTTAAACCACACACCAAGGCAGTCACTGTATTAACTATCGATGAGCAAGGAGAAATTCTGGCCACTGGGGTAAGTTTCTAGTGACCATTTAAGATAATGGGAGTTGACGTGCCAATCAGAACCAAGGATGGAGTCAGATTCCATAAGCAGACCCTTAAGATAAATAATATGTTGATAATGGAGTTAAGGGTTTAAAATATCAACTAGCGTATGGTAGGTAAATCAGGTGGTTGCTCACAGAGTGCAGCTAAGAAGTTGAACTCGGGGAAACCATGAATACATTCGGTGAGAGAAAAGGAGGAAGGACACCCTAGACCACTTAGTTATTCTGCTTCCAAGTAAGAACATAATTTAAATGGTTTTTCCTAAGACACCCTGTTAAAATGTGTGTAAAATTGTGACGTTGCAGAGCGAGGACTGCACAGTTTTCTTCTTCACTGTTGCTGAAACTTACAAACCGATAGGATTCATTGAGACTGCTTCTCCAGTTGTGTCTATGGAATGGTCAAACGAACCTAAGGTAATTGGAGATATCGAGCGCTTTTCAATTGAGTGTCGTAACAGCCAATCAGAAGAAAGAAAAATACCTCTAAGAGCCAATGAGAAGTCAAAGTAAAACCAACCAAAAATGACTTAAGCGCGGGAAAACGCGGGCGACCAAGTCGTGATTGGTTTTTAGCTTTTGAGTTTTCTGGACCAATCACAGAGCGAGGTAAAGCAAAAACAAAGTAAACCTGGATTATTTTCGACACTCAATTAAAATTGCAGTAATTGTCTTCTTTATTATTTCTATTTCTATCACTATCAAGCAATTCTCATTCCACAAGTAGCTGTATTTTCAGGGTAGAGGATTTAGCTGAGAATTATAGTATTTGAGCAGGGTTATTTTAGGGTGGTACATCATAATGTCCATGAATGATAGTTTGCATTTTGCGATGATAGAGGTGCTCTCCACAGTTAGTCGCTTGAGCTGTTTGCTGCCTTTGTTAGTGTAGTGTAATTTAACCCTTTTGAAAACCGCCGTTGAATGTTTTTCTCTCCATTCACGTAAAATTGGGTCATGAAATGAGCATATTAGATTTTGTTACTCCACAGTACTTATCGTTCATAATCGAGATTCATCTTGTCTCCAGGCTCCAAAGAGCGTACTCATCAGCTGTAAGGATGGTACAGTTCTTCACGTCGAGGCTCCTGATCCTGGCAAATATGACACGAGTAAGACGTTCCACCTCCCCCTGACTAATCTGAAGACCAAGGAGTACCACTTCAAGAGTGTCAAGGATAAACTTAGGGTGGGTACCTGAGGGGTTTTTCGCCTTTGGTATTTTTAATCCAGTGGTGAAGGTGAAAATTATCTGGGGTTTCATAAGTTTTGCTTTACTTCACGATGTGATTGGTTTAGAAAGACCCGCGCCATGCTCTCAACTAATCAGATACTTTTGAACTTGCGCTTTCTCGTGCTTGAGGTCACTTACTTGCCCCACCTACTCCACCCCTTCCACTTGTGTTTTACCCCGTTTTCATCAATTTGCTATTTTTTTCGAGTCTTCATTGGCGTCACATGACAATTTCCTTCACTCTGATCGACTGTTCTCATTACAGTGGCTGTGGTTTTTACGGCAGTCGATCGGAAAGCGCTTGTGCGGCTGAAAGTGCATGTTTATGTTTGGTCAGTAATGGGGATGTTTCACGTTTTTACAGAAAGCTGAAGAAGAAGCGCAAAAGGCGAAAGAGGAAGAAGAGAATAGGAAAAAGAAAGAAGCAGAACGAGCGCGGCGGCGTGCACGAGGATTGGAAGAGGAAGAAGAACAGGAAGAAGAAAAAAAAGAAGACGGACAAGACGGAGAAGAACAAAAGGAAGAAGAGGAGAACGAAGAGGAGCAACATAAAGAACCAGGAGAAATTATTAAAGGATTTTACCACGGCAAAACGGAGAAATTCTGGATTTCAATGGTAAGTTAATCTGTGTCAGTCCCTAAAATTGCACTCTATTACATCTATTTTGAAATCGCAAAAATTTAGTCGTAATCTAGTTTGTAATCTATATACTGTGACTCAAATGTAGATGTCATCTTGATCTTAGGGCGGTTGGGATGCAGGGTATATGTACCAGTGTGAATTTGATGATGGTAAAAAACCGCTTCCTGCAGAAGGGCAGGAGGACACCCGAGATGAACCCGTGAAATCCATACCCGTGGACAACAGCAATGATACGCCCATTAGATCTGTGTGGTTCAGGTATGACGGAGATTATGACATTTAGGTTTTCCCTTCTCCATGTCAATGCATAGAAGTGCAAAGTTGTGAAGACTTTCGTTAGACGGCTTCATTAAGACAGTTTCCTCACTCATTCCTAGGATAAAATTGTCTTTAGTTTCGTAAGTAAAATTCTCTTGTCACCCCACTGGTGTGTTTCGGATCTCAGCACTTTTATCTGAAATCTGAAATAGACACTTGAATCTGAAGTTTTTGCTATCTCAAACTTGTTGCTCCGTAGAGTTGTTGCTTTGAGTAAAAGAGTACTCGAAGTCTCCATCTCCAGCCAATTTTATTTTAATTCAGGCCAGGAGTCGACCCCGAAGTTTTTGATCCAGAGTCCAATGGGCCGATCCTCAGTACACCGCTTCTCTCTGCGTCGATGTTTTCAAATACATGTACTAAGAATTTTCTCTTTCGTTTTTCAGTCACTCAGGTAAATTCCTCCTTTTTGGCATGGACGATGGAGTTCTTCGTATTCATCCTCTAGACGGATCGAACGACTTTGAAAACTTCAGCAATTTTTGGGCGCTTAATGTGCACGACAACCATCATGGAGGAATCCGACACATAAAGACCAGCTTTGATGATAAATATGTCTTCACTGCTGGAATGGATGGTAACTTCTTTGTGTTTCGCTTCATGGATAAAGCTGTGAAAGGCCTGAAAGTGTCTCATAAGGTGTCCATACCCTCGGCAAAGGTGAGATAAGCAGAGGGAAATAAGTAATGCTCCATTTGTTGCTTATGATGTTTGTCGACTTCAAATCTAGCACAATGAAAATTCAAGATAGTGATTACTTGAACCCTATATAAAATTCACCTTTGCACTTTTCAGTTGCTAATTGTCATCCTGTACAAGCAAAACCCTGGTCTTACTTAATATATTTTGCTTATATGAATGGGGCATAAGGCCAGTATAGAACAATGTTTGGTCTGTTGTCAAGAATAATTCGGGTAACTACAGTTTTAGTTGCACTGCACTTCCGTGATTGGTCCAGAAATCATACGCCTGGCTCTCAACCAATCACATAGTCAATCCCATTTTCGGCGAAAAGAAAAAAATTAAAAACTTTTTTCGTGTAAGACAATGTAGGGGGTTTCGTCAAATAACCTCGGGAAATCCTTTCCTCGCTTGTTTGTATTATCTTGTAATAAAATAAAGGCGTAATCAAACAGACAGAGGAGAAGAAGGTACAGAGGATGGTCAACCCCATTCTAATGTCTGGCTATCATATCCTGATTATTTTAGAAGCTTATTGGAGAAGAAGGTGAAGAGATAGTGAAGAAGATAGACGATATTGATGACCCAAACCATTACAGTATTGAACTCGAGAAGCAGAAGGCGGAACATGACAGATTGGTTAAATTGGCCGAGGAGAAAAAGCAGGTATTTACAGGCGCAGCGCATGTAAACCCATTCAAAAGGTAAACTGCGTAGCAACCGCACGAGGAAAGAGAGCTAAGTTTCTGGGAGCTCACGTAAGAGGAAAAACGCGTCGGTGAAAGAGGAGAACTCTCTCCGACCCTTGTGTGTGCCTCAAGTTTTACCACTTGACTTCGGAATCAGCCACGTGTGCAAAGTGAAAAAATCCCTGGGATCGCAATTATGTTTCGTAGCTATACTTTGTTTTCCTTCTTTTTCCAGAACATCCGTCGAAAGATTGGAAATTTAAGAAGAGCCTTTAAGGAGTTAATGACGAGAAATCAGAAACTTCCTCCACATGTGCAGATTACAACCGATGTAAGTTTTTTTTTTCCCATTTTTGTGTTGACCGAAATATCATCAACCGCTGTAAAGTAAACTGTAAAGTCTTCCAATCCTGCTTGCATGAGATTTGTGGTAAGGAGTCAAGTCCACAATGTTTTTTTTAATCTGTTATCTGAGGCACTCCGTGCTTTTGTTTCTTTCAGGAATTCGAAATTGATCCCGATCTCGTCACGGAACAGAAAGCTGAGGTGGATAACAAAGTGAGTATACATTAAGTAGTCTATTTGTAGCCTAACTGTTCAAGACCCTCAAATCGTTAGGACAAGCGAGAAGGCGTTGTGCGCAAAAGGAAAAAATTGTTGGACTTTCCCGCTCGCTTAACTTTTCCCTTGCCTACACTTACTGTGAACGTGACGCAAGCTAATCCAGGTGCTCTTGCCGAGTAAATGCATCAGACGAACCTGTTTTTGTTTCTGTTTTTGATTTTGGCCTTTAGATTGAACTTGTTCGTAAAGAGATGGCTTGGGAAGCAGAAAAGAAGTCTATTGGATTGAAAAAACTACAAAACAGGTGAGAAAAGCTTTCACATTTTGCTGTCATGTGTTCCTCCACTGAGTTACAGAATTAGGTTTTAAACTCGGGTATGGCATCTCTTTGTAATTTTATTTGTCTCTATTTTCGTGTCGTGACGACTTTTTGATGCTGTTGATTGAAATAAGATATTAAACAATGCTTGTTTTTTTCCCTTGCAGATTTAAGGACGAGGTTGAATGTGATCGGATCGTACTCCGCGCGTTCCTTACTCCTCATCTTGTGACAGCCTTCAGAGCAGCTAAACCAGACTACCTTCACCAGCTGTTACAAGAGGCCGGAGGGACCAGAGGTGGGGAGGGAACTGACGGGGGAGTGTCAGGGAGAAAGAGCTTCTCAAGTGCAGCGCAGAAAGCAGCTCAGGTGAGGGATTATCATCGATACTTAATTTATGAGCATGCTCAATCGAGACTTTTTGAAAGAAAACTGGAAATGAGCTGAGTGGCGTGTGAAAGAAAATCACGAGTTATATAGCAACAGCCAATCAGAAAAAGGAAAAATCGTAAGGAGCCAATAAGAACTCAAAGTAAAAGCGGGAAAAATGAGGTGATCACGTTGTGATTGAAACAACATACCAAGGTATCCCTGATACCCTTACTTTTCTTCCTCTTCCCCCCCCCCCGACAACATTGCACTTTGCTCCCAGTAAGTTTATGACATTGAATGAGGCGGGGGGGGGAGGGTATCGTGGCAAATTGTCCTCCAGTTTTAATTTTATTGCCAGATACTTCCTCCAAAGTGGTAACGTGAATGTTAGGCGTCCACTATATTTGTCGTTGATTTAAAATCCCTTGTGTATTCTTGCAATACTTGATGTTGGAATATGGAATAGTTTTATGATCGGAAAATCATTTCATGCAGATGAAGAGACGTAGCACACAAGATAAGATAACTGCAAACCAACAACAACAACAACAGCAGCAACAAGCTCCAGCGTCACAAGGCCAGCTGGGAAGCAAAGTCGCTAATGCGCTAGCTAAAGCAGAAGCCCGCAGGCAAAAGAGACTTGCCAGACAAGGCGAGGTACTGAGAACTATTTGCTGTCCGTTTTTAAAGCTCCAAATAAGAGGCAGTGGTAGGGCCAAAACCGAGGATTGCGGGATTCGTTCCCTGTCCTCTTAGGAAAAGAAAACAAAAAAAATACATTTATTAGATCATTATGTTGCGAAGAGTTCAACTAAAGCAAGTTGCAAGATACTTTGGTTTTATTAACTGAGTTGATAATGTAAATTGGCCACCGTAAAGAGTTTCTAAGTCGACGTTGCGAGCGTTAGCCTTTCGTTAGAGCGTTCCTCTCTCCAAATTATCTTTTCACACTCCCCCACCGACGCAGCACCACAGTTTCTTTAGAAAATAACCCCCTTTATTAATTTATTCAAGCTCGGGAAAACTCATAAAGGACGAGAGCTAGCCTACTAGCTCATTAGGTTTCTCATAGTAACCGAAATAAATTTTAGGATGTATTGCATGTGAAAGCTCTGCAGTTAATTCTTTTTGCAGCCGTTCCTAGATTTCTTCAACAGTCATACTTTGATTTGTATCTTAGTGGGACGAGTTGTATCGTAGCAAACCTGACGAAGGTTATGAAGATCCCAAAGATGTGGCTGCCATTAAAGAAGCGCGAGAAAACATGGGCGATTATAAGCTGAAGACTGCTAAAGATTATGTGGTACCCGAAAGTCAAAGGGTGAATGCGGAAAAGAAGAGAATTCAACTCCTGAACCTCCTTGACCAGGTAAGTTTTACCAATTACATTTTTGCGTTGTGCTTTTTTTGAAAGTAAATTTCATCGAGTTTGAAAGGAATGTAAGTTGAAATGTTCGGAGAAGCGAACAGGTTTTGATGTTGTTTTTCGTTTTTGTTTTTCAGATTCATCATTATAAGTTTGAATTCAACCATTCATTCTTAGCTCTCCGAGATAAGAAAATCAAGATAATCAGAGAGGTAATTCAAGATTGGTAACCTACTTCCTTTGCAGTGAAGTCTGTCTACAAGAATTGTGTCGTTTTGTTTATACTTGCACTTTCATTTTGTAGTTGAAGGAAGTGGTCGCACAACTTGAGGAAGTACAGCGCAAGATCGACCCGTATTCCCGACGGACCATCCCGAAAATACCCGAAATGATGCCCGATGAATGTCCCGAAAAGTAAGTTTTGTTAGAGAGTCAGTTTATGGTGGAAAACGTCAATCAAAATCAGGAAACCAATCAGAACTGGATTTGACAAATTCAGGACAAAAAAGTTTTTTTTTGTTATCTGAAGATTTTTTCAGATCGATCAAGTATTGGAAGCTTTCTGTCTCTTTTCACCTTAGTAAAGAAAAACGAAAACTTTTCTGCGCCTCATTCGCCGAAAGAAATTTGTGTTTGCTCATAGGATTGAGCCGCAATTCTGACACACTCTTCACAATAAAATAGTATTTGGTGGTAATCAAATATTTCTGGACAAGCAGTGCGTTTCAGTGAAAGCAGCTTCCGTTTATTAAAGAGAACTGCGGTCATTTATAAATTTCTTACAGTTTAACTTGTGGACGTTGTAAACAGTGTTAGGTATCTTTTTCACGCATGGTCGGTTCTGGACAGTGCTTTTCATGTCGGCCCCAATCTTTCTCTTGGCAAATTTCATCGCAGTACAAATTCACACGACAACCACTGCACATCAACAAGGAAGCACTTACTTTTCCACAACTTGCGCACTTCGGTATTTCTCTCTCTCGTTCAGCTCTAGCAGCCTTCGGTTTTGAATCTTCCCTTGCGCGTTTTTTCCTCTTTTTTATCGCTGTGAACTGATGAATTGTTTTCTGCCGTGTTTCATCTTTCACCTTCGCCAGCTCCTCCTTGTGGGTGCGTTCCATGTCATCAAGAGCTTTTTGTAACTCTTTGTTCTTGTCATTTATCAAGGCTTGAATGGATTTCTTTGCGGTGCTGTGCACTTTCTCAACAGCTAGTTGACTTGCTTCTCTTTCCCTGTCGATCATTCTCCGGAGAAGTTCTTTTTTCTTTTCAACTTGAACTTTCTCCTCATTGATTTTCGCGGCCGCCACCACGGCAGCCGTTTGTAGCACGCTCTGTCTGTAATCATCGATTAAGTTTTCTGTACTTCTCTGACAAGAGTCCATGGCATCTTGCAGTTCTTTAAGCCTGTCTAGTAGGTTTCTAGACATTTTTCTCAACTGAAAAGCGTGTTAGTGGAACGGAATCTGGGACAATAAGTTTATCTACACCTTGCGCACTGAACAGAGTTTTAGCGCGGTGATTATTATTTTTGGTTGCCATGGATTTCCTTTTAAACATTGTTGACGCGTTTACGTGTACTTGCGCGCGCGAACGTGAGATTTTCAAATGGTTTAATGGAGACGTTAGTTAATTAATGCTTCAAAAGAGTTGATTAAAACTTGTTTTCTCGATGCCCTCCAAAGTGATAATAGTAGCAATAAAGTTAATGTTTTTGGGAATAAATAAGTTGTGACCCTCATCAGAGTTATTTTGATGGGCCCAAACATTTGTGTATGCCCGCGAATATGAACCAAATTGTCTTCATTTAGATTGTGTTATAATAGTTTCTCTGTTCATGGGTGAGTTCTTAATAGAAAACTGGTGTAAGGTCGATTATTGATTTTATTTCTGTTTCGTTTGCAGGCGCCTTGAATACACACGTGAGCAGTTACTTGAATTCAAGAAACGAATGGTTGAAAAGGTTAATCAGGGAGAGCAGGGAGGGGGATTTGGAGGTTTTGGTGGATTTGGTGGCGGGGGAACTGAGGTGAGCAGACGTTTGTTTTCAACGGGGAACTCATAGACTGCGTTTTTGCTAACTTGCTGAAAGATTTCACGACTGGCCTTTGCTACACAGGGGTTTATCTTTGTGCAGAACTAACTCATGGACCTCTTTATTCTTATTCCTCTGTGGACATTATATTTTCTCTATATCAATGTTATCCACTTGTCCTTTCAGACCTCAAAATTGGCTCCAACAAGCAAGCCAGGGACACAGCAAAGGGACCGCTCTACCTCTTCTGTCTCTGTACATTCCCTTGGAAGGCCCAAGTCTAGTTTGAGTACTTTGACGGACAAAGAAACCCCCGAGCCCGCGTTAGAGGACATCAGCGAGGACCCGTCCGTGCTGGAGCAGGAGATGCAATATGAAGAGCAAATCAGGTTGGACAAGTATTCTTTCAACAATTTTTTTTTGTTCGGAGGGGAAAGGGGGCGGGGTGGGGGCGTATTTGAGTGAAAACCTAATGATTCGTCAACAAAAGGAACAGGAAAATGTCTTACTAAATAAGTGAAAATGGCACACTATTAAAACGTGCGCCAAAATGAAATTAGGCAAGGAACGCAAGAAAATGGGTAACCGGCGGCAAGCACGGGAAACTGGCCAATCAAAGGCAAGCGCGGGAATGGTCCAGCTAGTCCCACGCGCGGGAAAATATGTCAACACTGGCTAACCGGGGAATTTTAAAATTGAAAGTATTGTGCGTTTTTTTTCGGTTTTGTCGCATGCAAGGTATTGTGACTTCAAGGCTCACAGTGTCCTAACAACTCTGAACCCTAACTCTAAACCCTGAAACTTCCACAAGTTTTTTAACATATGATATTGAACAATCTATTCTGCAATCCAGGTTACAATACGAACAAGATGTATTGATCGACAATATCACCAGCACATTGGAAAAATTTGATGCCGATCTGCGATACCTAAGACACGACAAAATGCATCTAGAAGTTGCTGTGAAGTGCGCTGACTTAAGGTGAGTTCCATATAGTAAAGGGGTTTGAAGTTTCTTAGACTTGAAGCGGCAGGTATGAAAACAGCAAGATAGGGGGTCTCCCAGTCTCAATTTTTTTCTCATCGCCTTTTCCTTCGAATTTCACGATTTCTCATTTTGCCCTTTTGACGTCAGATCGCGTCGGGGGTGGGGGCGGGAGGGGGAAGGGTGGGAGGGCTGAGAGAGGGGTACTAAGGGTAACTTTTCGATTATCCCTCTTGGTGTTCCAGTTACTCTATTCCACGAATCCTGGCGTTAAGCGTTTGGGTTTTTTGTCAGGAAGCAGCTTGAGAACCAGTGTAAGCTTTATTTATTTACCAATTCAGTAACTGTTGCACATGTACAATAAATAATGATTAAAAACGACAATAAAATGAGATACTGCTGTAAAGTAACAGAACAGAAATTGTATTTATGAACCCCAACCTTTGGGAAGACTCTAAGCCTCGTTTGGTTGATTTTGTTTCTTTTTTGACAGGCAAGTTACTCTGTTTGAAGAATTCATGCTGCTAAAAGAGTTCGAGAAAAGAGAGAACAGCTTTGCTAACAAAGTAAACACTAAACTTTCTGAGAAGGAGGAGATGCAGGAGAAGGTATTAAGAAAGACTTCACAGCGATGAGCTGTTTGTTTTTTTCTTCAAACGTTGATTGTCGTGTGGCAAACTCAACAAAATATTTTTATATTCCAACTCATTTTCTGAGCACTGCTCCAGCACTCACTAATGGTTTGTCGATTTTATTAGACCTGGCGAAACTGAAAAACCTATGTTCTTGCCGGCGCACGCAACCAACGCTGCTTAGAGTTCAAAACACCTGAGAAATTTGTATTGTCATCTTCAAACTCCCGCGCGTATCACGTGCAGTCTGCCTAGAAGTGTATAAAATAATTGGCCCTACTTAAAGGACAGATTAGCTGGCGCTGTATTTGTATATCTATTTGCAGAAAAAATTGCGGGCCAGCCAGCTAAAACTAATGGAAACAGGTGTTTGTCTAATCTTTTGGTCTTGGCTTGAACGATAACGGATCAAACTTGTTTCTCCTCCAGGTGGAAGACTGTCAGTTGAAATTAGACTCTAAGAAACAAGACATCGAAAAGCTACAAGAGCAGGAAAAAGCGCTGTACACCACATTCACGGCAGCTCTTGGTGAGAACAACAAGTTCGAGTCGTTTTTGACACGCGTTTTTAAGAAAAAAATCAAACGTGCCAAGAAGAAAACTCAAGCTGAGGAGGGTTCGGACGAAGAAAGCGAGGATGAGGACAGCGACGAGGATTTGTCATCCAGTGATGAAGAGGATTCTGACGCAGAGGAACTGGACGACAGCGTGTGTCCACCAGGGTGTGACCAAGCTTTGTTCGATCAGGTGTGTTACTAATCCTTAGTATGTGGGGACTATTGCAAGAAGGAGTGGCTGACGCTGTGGCCTCGTGGCTTGCGCGTCGGAATATGGATTGAGAGTTCTGGGCCCAAGCCTTGCGCGGACCAATGTGGTGTGTTCTTGGGCTAGACAATTGGATACTTTCAAATTGTCAGGGGAAACCTGGTGAATTGCTTGGAAATAACCTTCAATGGAACTAACGTCCCGTCTAGTGGGGACTAATGATGTTCAAATTGCATTATACTGCGGACAATGGAATAAGCTTCGACAGCAATTTACCACTAGGCTCGAGCAACTTAACTTGACTTTATTCGTATTTACTGAAATCAGTTTCGCTGAGTTTCTATGTGAGTTTTTTTAATTTATCGTCATGCGGTTTAATCATGAGGTTCTTGCACGGGTAGAGAGGGTAACCGTATCTTCTGCTTTAAAACAAGTGAATTGCGTAGTTGATTGATTGACATGTTGACTAACTGATTGGCTTGCTGATTGATTGGCTGACTTAATGATTGACTGGTTGATTGATTGATTGATTCATCGCTTGATTGATTGATATGGGTGCTGATTTTTATATCTCGATTCAAGGTTTGTCAGCTACGCGAACGCCGCTTAGACCTGGAAGAAGAATTGGCAGAAGAGAAGAAAACAAGCGAGTCCTTGAAGAAGGAATCTGACGCACTTGTAAAGAAAGCAAAGATCATCGATGGTGCCTTAAAAACGGCAGAAGCTGATTTGGAAGCTTTCCAGGTAAGCAGAATGAATGAAATGTAATTTACTGCCATTTTAAAATCCTAAAAATAAAACAGCGTATGGGATCGTTTTGCGGTAGATTAAAAAAAATTGTTTGAATTGGAGTAAAATCTTAATTCATAATTTGCAATGTCGAACAAAAGCCGTTGAGATGAATCGGAGTGGAAAGGGATTGTTTAAGGATGAAAAAGATTTTAATGCTTGGATTGCAAATCATAAACGTGAGTCTTTCAAGATGCGTAAGCGCAAAAGAGCTCCTTAAAACTTGCTAATCAGCTTTTTTTTCTAAATAATTTTAGCGTGAGAAGCAGCAAAAACTTAACGAACTGGACGTGGTTGTGGTGCTCAGATTTCATCAGATCCAGTACATGATAAACAGTGTGCTGCCTCAGGATCTGTCGCAGTGTCTTGTTTTTAACAGCCCTGGACTGGTACGACTACAGCACAGGATCAAAGAGCTGGAAAAAGAGAAGGCTGAGCAGAAGAGACTTTATAGGTACGATAAAAAAATATGATTTGCATCTTAAATTCTCTTTTATACAGACAATTATAAAATTAATTTATAATTGCATTAGTTGTTTAGGTCTCCCAAATCTGAGTTGTTTTTATTCATCTTTTAGGGAGCATCGCCAGACTCATGTGCAGCTCATCCGCGACAAGAAAGTCCAGGAAAACAGGGTAAGGTTATTGTGCAGAATCTAATTGGCCAAATCACAGGAAGCCCACTATTGAACTGATGTGCACGAAGCAGTGTTCTTTTTCGGGAGAACTGTCGCACATAACAACAACAACAACCAAGTAACCAAAATTATAGGCCAAAAAAACCCCTAGAATAGTAACAGAGTCACAATTTCTTTAAAAACTGGATTCTTTGATCATCCTTTTTTCGCCATGCGATCGGGCGTTGCAAGTGATTACTATCTTTTCTTTGGCCGCTCCCCACTCGCTGATGCTCTTCGGATTGAAAATAAAGAAACAAATAAATGAATAATTGAGTGAGAGAATAGATAGGAAAGGAAAAAAACTCACAAAATTACCATGACTTATTAAGTAATACTGCATCGTAATGTACTTCGTCCTTAGATCGGTGAATTGGAAGAGAAAGTTCGTAACATGTTGATGTTGAAATTTGGCCGATTGGTGGATCTGGAAAAGCTTGAGACTGTTACAGTAAACAGAACTGTCGAGGAACTAAAGGAGAAACTCAGACAACAAGAGTCTAAGAGCGCCGCGGAGATCGCCAAGTGGAACGTGAGTTCTTCTTTAAAACTTTACGTCAAAAGTATCGGAGGGTAGATAGCAATAGAGGGGGGCAAGTTTGAAATACTTCTCTGCTTATTTAAGAAATTATGTTATTGGAAAAAAACAAAACTGTGTTTTCGCAGTCAAATTCTCCCCACATCACAGATTTCTGGTTCTGCTCTTTCCTTACTTTCACCACCGAATTGGTTGTCGAGACCTACTCCTGGTTTAAGTTGATTGTTGTTGTTGTTGTTTACTTAGAGCAAGATTGACTCCTACAAGGGCAAGGTGACGCAACTTACTCGGGAGAACACGCAGAGATTGGACACTTTCACTGTTTTATTGCAAGAAAAGAAAGAGCTTGAACAGATGCTGAACTCACGACAAAAGTCACTTGGTACGGAGTTTACCGGAAGTCGTAAGGCTGACATCCGGGAACGGCAGCGTTTGGTCCAGCTGGTGCAATTGCAGGCTCAAGAAATCGACGCTCTCAAGGATGAAATAACTTTGCTGTCACGTAAAGGCGGGCATATTCTTCCACCGGCACAACCGCCCCTCCCTCCTGGACAAACGCCCATACCCAATCAATAACTTGTTATCGATTTTTTCTCGAAAAGCCGAGTTTTGAGTGTAAGAACTTAGTAGTTCTCAGGGTTTTTTTCATTGTTCGCGTAGTTTTTTTTTATACATGCACTGTAAATAATGGAATGGAGTTTGAATATTGGTCAGGATTTCAAAGATGGAGTATGAATATTGATCAGGATTTCAAAGATTACGTTCAAGCTTCGAATAAAAATACTTCGCTTTGAAATCGGATGAGATCTTGTGTGAATACGTTCTTCACTGTCATTACAAGGAGATTGCTTAGCAGAGCAAAACCTGACAAGTAGTGGCAAACAGAGAAGTTTTTCGACTGCTTTAATCAGATTCCCTGCAATCACGAGTGTAAACCCTAATCACACACAAAAACCAACTTTCACAAAATCGTCAATTCCTCAGACATAGACAAGTCTTGCCTCTATAACGCAAGCATCAGTTTTTTCATTAAAATTTCTTCCAGAATTTTCTTACGTTAAACGTACTCCTTTGAAACTCAGCACCGCTAGGAACTTGATAACGCTTTTGTAGAACTGCGATCAAACCCAACGAATTTCATTATTTTCATTAAGCGTTAGCCGAGGAGGCCTGAATGATGACGAATGACCACTTGACATCCCAGGCGGAAAGTCTCGTGCTGATCCTTGGCTAGAGGGGAATCTAGGAACGAGTTAAGGATGAATTCTTTGTTCCTTTTCATTCGTTCCAGCAATTTGTCCCGTTAATTACGAAATTACTCGAAAAGTAATTTTTTTCTATATAAGAACAAACTGAGGCGCGATTTCTAGTATTTAACGCTATTATAGCCCACCTAGTTGATATATAGGCCTGAAAAAAAACTAAGTTGAAAACGGAAAAAGGATACGAAACTGCTCTGTCTTCCAGCCCCCTTGCGTTATTAACATGCAGCCCTGCCTCGCGCCGAAAATTACGAAGCCACTCGGCATGAGACTGCAATCGCTCAGCGGTGCTTAACTCCTTCTCCGAGGTCCAGTCCTTCACGGTTGCTGGCTCCCTTTTGAGGATAAATCAATAAAAGGAAAAGAAATCTTAGAGAGAATGACAGCCTATTCATTCGGGTGTCGTCCAACAAAAATTAGAAAAATAATACAGTTGTGTTGTTAGCGTAGCTCGAGTTAAAAAAAAAAAGGCCACTCTCGGATTTCTTTGCGACACCCAGCTCAGATTATAAAAAGAAAGTGCATCATTTTACGTACCTTGACCCTGACAGACTAATGGTAGGTCCGAGAGAAAGTGAGGCTGGCGAGTCACGTGACTGATCTGAAATAGGAAATAGGAAATAAAATGCTTCGGTGTTCTCAACGATATAATCATACGAATGGAGATAAAAACACGTTAGCACTCAAATTAAGCCATTTATATTTTTCAATGTTCTTAAAATCGTTGCTGTTTAGTCAAGATGTGAACGTCACCTCCAAAGTAGGATCTCCATTTCCTTTCCAGTTGTGACTCAGTGCTCTCTTGGTTTCTGTATGGAGCCTGGAATTGCGGAGGGGCGCTATTCAAAGGATTGCTGTGGCAAACGATAAAACAGATGAATTAGATCTAAGCTAATGTCTACGGCACTCGTGAAATTTTAATCTTAATAGTGTCCTGAGTAAGACTTTCAATCTGATCGATCAAGTACAAAAGGAAATAAGCATATGTATGGTATACAGAGAATGACACACAGGTAAATCCAACTGCAATAGTTATTTAACCTCAAGCAAGCCCGCCACATTTTAGGAAAACCGTTATTGTATTGTGGCGCTTCTTGATTTGATTAGCATAAAGCGACTGGGAGTATTGCGGCTCCATCATACAGGTCCAATACTGGTCCAATACTGGCAAAACATGTAACAAAGGAAGCATGGCCTTGGTTAGGATATACCGGTCTATGCTAGGATATACCAGGGACAACGACCCCTCTTAAGAGAAATCGTCGAAAAAACTCACAAAGTACTAGTTTGTCCTTGACGGCTGGGTACCGCAGGACCTCCGGTGGGAACCACAGGAACACCAGCACCTCTCGAACGATAAGGTTCTGTTGCTGTGCCAGACTGATAAGGGGCCTGGGCTTGACTGACCCGACTTCCTTCAGGATAAACAGGCGCGGCAAGCGGCTCCCTGAGGGCATCAGGAAACGGCTGCGTGACATGCTTAGCCCTGAAGGGGGCCGGCGTGACATTTGGGTAAGTAAAGGATGGTGTACGAGATTGAAGTAATGTTAAAATTCGCGCCAAGTCCGTGTTTATCTGCTGCAAAGAGTAATGAACAGCTTCGGAGCTGTCTTCACCAGTGGAGGGTTTCCTCAGGTTTCTGGGAAGGGCCATTTTCGGCTGTCTGCTGCCCATCTTGACGTCACTTCTTCTTACGTTTCCGCTTATGACGTCACCATAGTCGCTACTACTGATGCCGCTGCTGTCGTCATCATCAAGAGTCTTACGCGGCGTTTTCCGAGGACGGTGCCTGTCTCTTGTTGGACGAACGTTTTTGGAATACCCAAGGAACGTGTCTTCTGAGTCCGAGGCAGTTGACTGTAAATAAAAAAGAAAACATTCTTAACACTTAAAGAGGGTAGTACTGTTCACGTTAGTTGAGAGAATTTGGCACTTGATGCGTATCGCGAAATTACTTAAAACCCATCAATTTCAAGCAAGATAATTTCGAGTATAATAGCAACGATAATAGCTTACCATTCCGCCTAACAAGGCATTCTCCAAAACCCTGAGCCTATCTTCCTTCTGTCTCAGCAGTTCTTGGCCAGCGGTCATGTTGTCCATTACCACTCCAAGCTCCGCTTCCTCCTGGGAAACAACAAAATATCAACAGTGTAAGGCTCCTAAATGAACAAGAGTGCATGGAGACAAGAACACATCTGGCCGTGCTGTATAAGAATCATATGTACCACAATCGGTCAGTTTGCCAATTCTAGGCAAGTAAACACCCTCATGGAACGCATCTTAAATCGGGTGCTAAAGAACCAAAGCGAAAGCAATCAAAAAGACCTTACAGAGCAAAGGAAACCATCAAAAGGAACCAGTCGCTACTTACTTGTGAGGGTAGTGTGATATTTCTTGACCAATCAAAGGGCGCAATGGAGTGAAAACCAAATTAATACTCTGCGACTTTCGACACTTACTGGAAAACTACCCTCAAGTTTTCCACAAATCTTTTCCTATGGTCCTCCTCAAAAGGGAAAAGGAGAAAGGGAAGGAGACCAGGCGCGACGGAAAATGGTTGAGTACTTTCCAGAGTTTTAATCTAAAAGGAAAACCGTCTTTACCTCGTCTAAGCGTGTTCTTACATCTTCCAAAAAATTAGCATTACGACTGGACAGCGGCTGCAAAAGGAGAAAGAGGAGTCAATGTGTAAAATTTTCCTTAATTACTTTCAGCATTCCAGTGTAGTTTGAATTATGCATGTTACAACAAACCTTTCCTCGTGAAATGTTCCGCGACACATCATTTGTCCATTCTTTCCGAGCGTCTTCTAAAGCGACCTGATGAGGAGGAAAACCCTTGCTACGTAAAAATGTACAGTCTGTAATCGGATCAGAATTGGCCCATTTATCGTATGTTATCGCAATACGAGGTGACTAGCTGTGTTCTTTATCTCTCTTAATAAGACGCTTTTCCACCGTGGGTTACAGGTAAGGAATCCAACTGGCACCATTTAAAATACATAGTTTCGTTAAAAGTCGTAATCTAGCATGGAACAAAAACATTATCCTACGCCTATATAACTTGATACTCGAGATCAAGGATCATTGCGGGAAACGCTTTCCGTAAATCTTTCAAGCAAAGAATTTCTTGGAGGTCTTTTACATGAAGAAATTGTGATATGTTCATAATAAATCAATGAAGTTTTTGAAAATTGTTGAGTGCATCTATTAAAGATATCATCAGGTGGAGGTGAATCGTACCCGTTTAACCCTAATCTAAAATTCTGCTTACTTGTCTTCGTTGCACAGAGCGCCGTTGTCGTCGTAAGAACTCCTTTGCCCTTGTTATGGCATCTCCTTCCTGCGCAATGCGGCTTTTCAATTCACTGCAAGAAAAATCACGAACTTTTTAGTCCAAACTTTTTGATCAGTCCATTTCTTCCCAACTTGAATTATCGCGCAAGTCATAAAAATCGAAGAAAAAGTCTCGACTCGCTTTTCCGAGTGCCTCGCTCCCAAAAGTTCACGCGGCGCCGAGACTGCCTTAAGCGTCGGATTACGCTCTCAAATTAAATAGGAACTGTTCTGTGATGCTGATGAAGGTACAGAACCAATACAATTTTTCATCAAATTCCATTCTCAGAGGCACCAGAGCTTAGCTAAACCCTATCCTGGTAACCTAAATACTAATTTTCCAGTTTTAGTGATAGTGCTTTTTCTAATAGTGCAGGACTGTCTAATCTGTGACTTTCTCACCTGTTACGAAGTTCAGCTTTCTTCTTTAAATACAAAAAGGTTCCTTGCACATCCTCGGAAGAACTTTCATCAGATGAGATGTCCGCTACAAAATATTATAAGAATACGTAATTAGCCCCGAAAGAAACTTCACAATACCTTTACCAATATTTATACTGAACAGTTAGATGAGCTCGAGATTTCTATCGCGTGTTATTTGACGAAGACGAAGCCCTTATCAACTATCACGCATAGAAATCGAGAGGGAGTAATCTAGTTGTTTTAGTACAAATCTACTGGTCATTAAACGCTTAAGAACAAGATAGGCTTATGGTTATGGTTCATTCTGTTTACAACTGCAACCTGTCGGGCAAATCACCTGACTCACAATCTATCATGGAATAGATAGCGAGTGGCTTAACTAAGCAGATCGCAGCATTCGTAAAAGAACGTTGACAAATTTGTACTAAATTAGTATTTGAGCGCTTTTCAACTGTGAGTTGTACAACCAAAATCCTGGTAATAATAGTGACCGGAAATGCAAATATCACAAGAAGCCAGAAGTAAATAACGCACAACACATACCAACCTGGCGTCAAGTACAGGTAAACACGCGAACCTTTAGCTTTGCATCTCATTGGCTGAGAGAGCGGCGTCCGTTTTCTGAGCTTAGAAGTAGTCTAACCTGCACTGACATACATTGTCACTCACCTAAATCGAAAGCTCTCCCCAGTCCACCAGGCTCTTTAGGTGCTCGGACTCCTGCTGAGCCTTTCTTGGCCGTAGAATGCACAGGTGCCCGGGGAGAGAATTCACCTGG